GATTTATTCCATAAGAATCCAATTTTACTATATCCTTTTCAGTGACCCATGTCGACCAATGTTTATGAAGTTGTCGTTTAGCTTCATTAGAACCTAAAACCTGTGTGAACGTATATTCATCAACAGCTTCATGTGGGGCGCCAACAAATTGTTCAAAAAGACTTGGCGTAATCCCTAATAAATACGCGTCATATAAATAAATATATTAACATATTTATGACACTCATTTATCATAATTAAAAATGTAAAGCGGTGCTATCTGATTAATCGGTTTCTATAATAATGACTGCAAGCCGGAGAGCCGTTTTGCATGAGTGTCTCCAGGTAAAAAAATCAGATGCCTAAATACAGACTATTACAAAATAATATTCTATAATTAAACATTCTGGTTTTCACTTGGCGACATTCATACGATATCTATGATATTTTAAAAATGAAATTCATGACAATATAATTTATTGCTTACATGGTTCCAGTACCAACCTTATGCAAAGAAAGAGAAATCAAATATGTGTTGGTCAAAAATTTGAAGTATTTTGTTTAAATAAATAAATAAATAATTGTATAGTTACCATCCTCCAAGATTCACACCACGTACTTTTTCTTGTCCATAAATAAGTGCGTGAGCATCGTTAACGGATCTTTCGGTAGAGGAATTGAACGGGATAGCGGTAATCAAATAGTAATAAATCAAGGTCAGAATGATCGGCAAAGAAATATATTTTGATGACATTCTTGTAGTAGAGATAATAATAATTTAAAGATTTTATTTATGGTAAGAAACAATAAAATCAAAAATTAAAAACAAAATAATAACAGTGAATTTATATGCTTAAGCAATAATTTACGCGACCAATCTTTTTTTTTTTTTTTTTTTGAGATCGTGCTACAATATGCAAGATAATTCAGTGGGATTCACATCAGGCGATGTAAAAGAACATGACTCATCGATCAATTTCATTAAAATTTGAAAAACATATGTGATGTTAGAAAAGGCCGTATTTAACAAAGTCGAAAACCGGTTTGTGTGATAGCTAAGGTAAATTTAAAAGTAATCTTTTTAATAAATACTAAATATGAACTTTGGCGATGTAAATAATCTGAAACAAGGTTTGAAGCCAGCATAATTGTAAAACCAGATAATCAAAAAGTATATTTTCCTCGAATGATTGCTGGATTGTTCCTTCTGAAACATGGCTGTCATCAAAACGCCAGAACGTTAGTTGAGATGTCAAAAGTCCGACCCGCTCCGGTCCCAGTCCAGTCCTAAAAAAAACCAATCCTGAACTAGTTAAGAACCAGTCTAACCAATCTGTTGATAGACATTGTTAATTACAGTCAGGGAATATACCAAATTAGGGGGTCGTCTAAAGCGGGGCAACTCGTATTTTTTTAATAATTTTCTCGATTGCTTTAG